TGACAGGGGCCCATGACAGGGCCACGTGACGGGGGAACGTGATGGGGCATGCGATAGGGGAACGTGACGGGGGCATGTGATGGGGGAACATGACGGGGGAATGTGACGGGGGCATGTGATGGGGGGACGGGACGACGGGGGGCACGTGATGGGGGACCGTGACATGGAGGCAAGTGACAGGAGAATGTGACAGCGGGGGGCATGTGACGGGAGGTACGTGATGGGGGAACATGACGGCAGGGGGCACATAACGGGAGGCATGTGATGCGGGAACGTGAAGAGGGGCACATGACGGGGGCACGTGATGAGGGACCTTGACGGGGAATATAATGGTTGGGACTGTGATGGTGGAGGAACGTGATGGGGGAATGCGACGGCATGGAGAACTTGACAGGAGGCACGTGGCGGGGGAACGTGGCGGGGGAATGTGGCGGGAGAACGTGACGGGCACGTGACAGAAGGCAAATGACAAGATACCGTGATGGGGGCAGGTACAGGGGAACGTGATAGCCGGGGGCACGTAACGGGAGGCACGTGACGGGGGAACGTGATGGGGGCAAGTGACAGGGGCACATGATGAAGGAACATGATGGGGGGCATGTGATGAGGGAAAATGACGGGAGAACATGATGGCGCACATGACGGGAGAATGTGACAGCGAGGGGACCGTGACAGGAGGCACGTGGCAGGAGGGACGTGACGTGAGGTACATGACAGGGGAATGTGATGAGGGAAACGTGACGGGAGGCATGTAAAAGGGGGAACATTAGGTCAAGGTCAAAGTTTTCTTTATAGTCATTTGCATCTCATGTGGTACATGCAGTGGAACGAAATTGTGTAGAGTCTCAGTTACATCCAACAAAAGTATAAATTGTAAAGAAAAACAGTAATAAGATCTATAAGAAAAATGTTAACTAAAAATACGCTAAGCTAGTAATACAAAAACATTACGCCAAACAGCAACATGAACATTCGTCTGTGTGAGCAAATGAGTACAAATGAACACAGCAACATGAAACAGATCAGCAGTAACATGAAACAGATCAGCAGTAACATGAAACAGATCAGCAGCAACATGAAACAGATCAGCAGTAACATGAAACAGATCAGCAGCAACATGAAACAGATCAGCAGCAACATGAAACAGATCAGCAGTAACATGAAACAGATCAGCAGCAACATGATGTGATTTTTCACAGTGATTATTCTGGTTAGAGATTCATGAGTGTAACAGCCTCAGGGTAGAAGCTGTTCCTCAGTCTAGTGGTTCTACGCTTAATTCTCCTCAACCTCCTTCCTGAGGGGAGTGGGGCAAAAAGTGTGTGTGCTGGGTGAGTGAGGTCCTTCATGATGCGGTGAGTGTGGTCCTTCATGATGCAGGTAGCCCTCTTCCTGTATCTGGAGGTGTAGATGTCTGTGATGGTGGAGAGACTGACTCCAACAGACTTCTTGACTCAACAGTCTCGTTGATGGGTTAGGTTTAGGGTTAGGTTTGCACTATTAGTGTTTAGCGTATTTCTTAGTTTATGACTTAGACCATATGTGTCAAACTCAAGGCCCATGCCCTCGTTGACATCTTATCTGGTCCCCAAGATGTTATGTAAAACGTAAAATACTTCTATCTCTTGAATTTTTTCAGTAATCTTTGATTACGATGTCGAAAGCACAACAAAGAACATCAAATGAGATCAATCAAGCTCTTGTTGAGGAATCTGTGACCAAGAAAAGATGTTGGGTATCTGATTTGAGTTAATGTAGTTTCTGAAATTGGCCCATAGTTTGAAAAAGGTTTTAATTTTGGCCCCCTTTTGTAAGTGAGTTTGACCCTCCTGGCTGTCTTAGATCCTTATTACTGTTTCTTTTACAATTTATATTTTTCCTGTTGTTGGATGAAACTGGGACCCTGTGTACACAATTTCGTTCCACCTCATGTACAATAAGAGATGTGAATGACAATAAAGAACCTTGAATCTTTAGGGTCAGGGTCAGGCTATAGAAATGACTGGAAGTCAATCCAGAGTCCTGTGTGCGTGTGCGTGTGTTTAGAAGCCGACCTCTTGACGTCTCCGTGTATCAGCTGTTCTTGGCCTTTTGGGGGGCAGTGCAGGTACTGAAGAGCAGCTGCTGCTCCTTCAATTATCCTGATCCTTCGAGGCCATGAGAGGATCAGACATGACTGGCGCAAACAAACAAACAAACAAACAGCCTTAAACACAGAAAATCACTCCTGTATCACACTCCTTAAATCCACGGACACTGGTAAAACACACGTTGTGTTACTTTGTGTTAAGTTGTGTTGTTACATTGTGCAGCTGGTCCTCCAGTGATCGGTTCTCCATATAGCTGTAGATCAGACACATTGCACCTCCTCCTTCACTGAAACCCAGCAGATCCACGATGTTGGGATGTCTGAACCTGAAGCAGACACAGATGAAGATAGATGACCTGAACACTGAAACTCTAAATAAAAAAAACTGTGGACATTGTGACCCACTTGGACAGGTTCTCCACTTCAGTCTGAAAGCTTCTCCTCAACTGGGGCCAGTCCATCAGACAGTCCTGTCAGCAACACCAAAGACCAATCATCAACCACTTCCTCTAAGACACAAAAAAAATTATGTACTTCCTGTCTGTTTCTCTATTTCCTGTCTGTTTCTGTACTTCCTGTCTGTTTTTGCATTCCTGTCTGTGTTTCCGGACTTCCTGTCTGTTTCTGCACTTCCTGGTTGTTTCCGCACTTCCTTTGCTTCCAGACTTCCTGTCTATTTCTGTACTTCCTGTCTGTGCCACTTCCTGCATGCTCTTGACGAAGACAGGCACTTTTCCTCCCGCTCCTGCTTCCCTCCAGCTTCTATTCTCTGTCCTGTGATTTCTAAGACTCTCTTTACATATCTTCTGAATTGTATATTATGGATCTGGTCAGCTGCAATAAAATTTTCTCGATGACAAGACAGGGCAAAGGAGAGCCCTCATGCCCTGAAGGGATACTCGCAGCTGGATATACTATGGATTCCTGGGGGCAGTGGAAGATGTTGTGTCTGACCGCAATGTCCGTTGAGGATGTAGAAGATTCATACATAATTGGATTTATATCAGGATTTCTGCTTTTTGGAGTTGGCGGTTATCTGGCATATCGACAAAGTTGGAAAACACTGGTAGCAGTTTTGTCAATTGTGAGGCTGCCCGGCTTGTGGAAAGGAATGTGCTGTGCTTCCAGCACTCAGACTCGGATGCTGTGTGAACTAAGCCGTAAGCTGGATGCAATTTCTGAGAATTGCAGACCACTTTCGGCTCCTGGAACTTGCTGGCCGGAAGGAATCAACCTTCGAGAATGCTACAAGCACGGCCCGGTGGTGTGACTATAAAATCTGGTTGTTTAGCGTCACCATGAGATGTACCAGCGAATTATGAAGGCAGACAGAAAAAACAAAAAACAAAGCAGAGTTGGCCTGTCATCTGAATCTGGTTTCCCCATTTGACCTTGAATAGGCCAACTATCTCAAATTTCTCCTGGAGGTTATGTGAACAAAAAGCTCTGCTCCCCCACTCCCCTACTTCTCCCGTCCTGAGGACATCTGTGGACCTGTGTTAGAGCTGAGCCGGCTGATAGACACTGTGCCATCTCTTATCAGGAATATGGAACTATCTGGCACTGTTCAAAGACAACTCACCGCCTTTGTCGGCCTCCTCATGCATAAACGTATTATGATGGCATTAGTATGTTACTGTTAGTGCATGGTCTTTTTTTGCAACTTTCACACTGTGTCCTGGCCAGGACATTTTTTCAATCAACCTTTATTTCTACAGGTTAGTCTCATTGAGCCTCCAGGACTCATTTACAAGAGAGACCTGATTTCAACAAAGAAAGATGACAACAATGGACAACAGTGACAACAATAGACAGTTATAAAAAGGCATACAGATATTATTATTACTTTTTTACAAATTAAAATAAGATGCAAAAAAGTAGCAAAACCAGTTAGATTATAAGGCAAATGTAGAAAACTAAAAACAGAAACATGTCTGACATAGTGTGAGATACCATTTTTTTACTTCCCCTCCCACTTGTGTTCTCTTTTCCTTATCTACTTTTGTCTGTCTGAATCAGGTCTCTCTTGTAAATGAGTACTCGAGGCTCAATGGGATTCACCTGTATAAATAAAGGTTGAATTAAAAATTTTTTAAAGTGTTTCCGCACTTCCTGCATTTCCTGTCTGTTTATGTACTTCCTGTCTGTGTTGCTGCACTTCTTGTATTTCCTTACTCCCCGTCCATTTTTGTACTTCCAGTCTGTGCTTCTGCATTTCCTGTATGTTTCTGCACTTCCTATGTTTCCTTACAACAACTAATTATCAATGGTGTTATGACTGATGATCTGGAGCAAGTAAATGAGGAAATATTTCAGTTCTACTTTAACTTGTATAAGTCAGACTGATGAAGCCTTCTGCATCGAAGGCAAAACGTTTCAGCACAAAAAAGAAACTGTCCAGATGACCTGACTGAAAAATGCTAGATTATATACCTGGATTATTGAGCATGGACTTTGTTGCTAGCATATCTACTTTTCTTTTGTTTTAAAACTTGCTCCCTTGCCTTTTATTTGCCTTACTGTTAATGTGCTTGTCTTTCTTTAGTCTAAAACCCATGTTCCTGTTTATTTTTCTTTCCTACCTATGTTGCATACCTTGTACCTCTACGAGATATTGTATATTGTATGTTAAACGATGGAGAAAAAAAAGTTTCCGCATTTCCTGTGTTTTTGTACTTGAATTCAATTCAGTTTATTTCTATAGCGCCAAATCACAACAAACTTGTCTCAGGGCACTTTACAGGAACATTCATATGAAAGCCAATTAGTAAAGTTCTCTATCTAAGTGCTGGTGAAGATTCTCAGTCATCCAGGACATGATGAATTCAAAAAGCGTTCAATACAAAAACAACTTGACTTTATTTGTAACAGAAGATGTTTCGCTCCTCATCCGAGGAGCTTTCTCAATTCAAAGAGCAGAGAGTGAGAGATACAGGTTCAGAGGCTGAGTGAGAGAAGACACACACATAGAAAGCTCCTCGGATGAGGAGCGAAACGTCTTCTGTTACAAATAAAGTCCAGTTGTTTTTGTATTGAACACTTTTTGAATTCTCTCTCTAAGGAATCCAGCAGACAAGATGAATCTTGGCTTCGTTGCAGTCTCCCATCCTGAGCAAGCACAGTGGAGACAGTGGAAAGGAAAACTCCCTTTAACAGGAAGAAACCTCCAGCAGAACCAGGATCAGGACAAGAGACCATCTGCTTTGACCGGCTGGTTGAGAGGACAGGAAGGAGAGACAGACAAACACAGAATGGTAGGTCCAGGTATAGGTCCAGGTCCAGGAGTACCTGAAATATAAACACATGTTAAGGATAGAAAAAATAATTACAAATACAAAACAGGTTGAGCAGAGTAAGTAAAGACAGCAGCAGAGTGAACATTGTGGTCAGTTTGTCCTCCAGCAGTCTGAGCCTATAGCAGCAGAACTAAGGGACAGCTCAGGAAACCCAAGCCGACCCTAACTATAGGATTTATCAAAAAGGAAAGTCTTCAGCCTAGTTTTAAAACTGGATAATGTGTCAGCCTCATGGACAGAGATTGGAAGTTGGTTCCACAAGAGAGGAGCCTGAGAACTGAAAGATCTTCCTCCCATTCTGCTGCTGGAAACTCTAGGAACCACAAGTAAACCTGCAGTCTGAGAGTGAAGTGCTCTGTTAGTAAAATATGGAACAATAAGATCTGTAATATAAGATGGAACTAGGTTGTTGAGAGCTTTGTAGGTTAGAAGTAAGATTTTGAATTCAGTTCTGGATTTGACAGGGAGCCAATGGAGAGAAGCTAAAACTGGAGAGATATGATCTCTCCCAGTAACTCCAGTTAAGACTCTGGCAGCAGCATTTTGGATCAACTGAAGACGTTTTAAAGAAGTATTTGGACACCCAGATAATAAACCATTGCAATAGTCCAGTCTAGACGTGACAAATGCATGGACCAGTTTTTCTGCATCATCTTTAGATCAGATGTTTCTAATGTTAGTGATATTACGCAGGTGGAAGAAGGAGGTTCTAGTAACGTTTTTAATGTGGGGGGATAAAAGACATGTCCTGATCAAAAATAACACCAAGATTTTTAACATTAGAGCTGGAGGACAGATTAATGCATCTAAGGAGGGAGAAAGACTGAAACATTCATTCCTAAGGTGCTCAGGTCCAAAAACCAAAACCTCAGTCTTGTCTGTTCAACAGGAGAAAATTAAGGGTCATCCAGGTTTTTATGTCTTTAAGACATGCTTGTAGTCTAAGTAGCTGATTGGATTCATTGGGTTTAATGGACAAATATAACTGTGTGTCATCAGCATAACAATGGAAATTTATCCCATGCTCTTTAATAACTTTACCTAATGGAAGCATCTACAGGTCCTTCTCAAAAAATTAGCATATTGTGATAAAGGTCATTATTTTCCATAATGTAATGATAAAAATGAAACTTTCATATATTTCAGATTCATTGCACACCATCTGAAATATTTCAGGTCTTTAATTGTTTTAATACTGATGATTATGGCATACAGCTCATGAAAACCCAAAATGCCTGTCCCAAAAAATGAGCATATCATGAACAGGTTCTCTAAACAAGCTATTAACCTAACCATCTGAATCAACGACGTAACTCTAAACACCTGCAAAAGATTCATGAGGCTTTTAAAAACTCCCAGCCTTGTTCATTACTCAAAACCACAATCATGGGTAAGACTGCCGACCTGACTGCTGTCCAGAAGGCCATCATCGACACCCTCAAGCAAGAGGGTAAGACACAGAAAGAAACTGCTGAAGGAATAGTCTGTTCCCAGAGAGCTGTATCAAGGCACCTCAGTGGGAAGTCTGTGGGAAGGGAAAAGTGTGGCAGAAAACGCTGCACAACGAGAAGAGGTGACCGGACCCTGAGGAGGATTGTGGAGAAGGGCCGATTCCAGACCTTGGGGGACCTGCGGAAGCAGTGGACTGAGTCTGGAGTAGAAACATCCAGAGCCACCGTGCACAGGCGTGTGCAGGAAATGGGCTACAGGTGCCGCATTCCCCAGGTCAAGCCACTCTTGAACAAGAGACTGCGTCAGAAGCATCTCGCCTGGGACTGCTGCTGAGTGGTCCAAAGTTATGTTCTCTGATTACAGTAAATTTTGCATTTCCTTTGGAAATCAAGGTCCCAGAGTCTGGAGGAAGAGAGGAGACACAGAATTCACATTGCTTGAGGTCCAGTGTCAAGTTTCCACAGTCACTGGGGTGCCATGTCATCTGCTGGTGTTGGTCCACTGTGTTTTATCAAGCGCAGGGTCAATGCAGCAGCTATCAGGAGATTTTGGAGCACTTCATGCTTCCATCTGCTGAAAAGCTTTATGGAGATGAAGATTTCATTTTTCAGCACGACCTGGCACCTGCTCACAGTGCCAAAACCACTGGTAACTGGTTTACTGACCATGGTATTACTGTGCTCAATTGGCCTGCCAACTCTCCTGACCTGAACCCCATAGAGAACCTGTGGGATATTGTGAAGAGAAAGTTGAGAGAACAAGACCCAACACTCTGGATGAGCTTAAGGCCGCTATCGAAGCATCCTGGGCCTCCATAACACCTCAGCAGTGCCACAGGCTGATTGCCTCCATGCCACGCCGCATTGAAGCAGACATTCATGCAAAAGGATTCCCGACCAAGTATTGAGTCATAACTGAACATGATTATTTGAAGGTTGGTGTTTTTTGTATTAAAAACACTTGTCTTTCATTGGTGGGATGAAATATGCTCATTTTTTGGGACAGGCATTTTGGGTTTTCATGAGCTGTATGCCATAATCATCAGTATTAAAACAATTAAAGACCTGAAATATTTCAGTTGGTGTGCAATGAATCTGAAATATATGAAAGTTTAAGTTTTATCATTACATTATGGAAAATAATGAACTTTATCACAATATGCTAATTTTTTTAGAAGGACCTGTATAAAGTAAAGCGTATTGTTTCAAGCACTGAGCCCTGAGGAACTCCATGACTAACTTTGGTTTATGAAGAAGATTTATTATTTACATTTACAAACTGGAATCTATCAGATAGATATGATTTAAACCACTTTAGAGCTGTTCCTGTAATCCCAACATCATATTCAAGCCTCTGTAGTAAAATATTGTGATCAACTGTATCAAATGCAGCACTGAGGTCTAACAGGACCAGTAGAGACACAAGTCCATTGTCTGAGACCATGAGAATATCATTAGTGACTTTTACTAGTGCTGTTTCTGTGCTATGATGAGCTCTAAACCCTGACTGAAACTCTTCAAACAGATTATTTCTTTGTAGATGTTCATGCAACTGACCTGCAACTATTTTCTCTAGACTTTTTGAGATGAAAGTTAGATTAGATATAGATCTATAGTTGGCCAGAATTTCTGAATCAAGATCAGACTTCTTAAGTAAAGGTTTAATTACAGCAACCTTAAAGCGCTGTGGTACATAACCATCCATTAAGGACAAATTAAGTAGATCCAAAATGTGGACATTAATTAAGGGGAAATACCTCTTTAAACAGTCTGGTTGGGATGGGATCTAGCAGGCATGTGGATGGGATCTAGCAGGCATGTGGATGGTTTGGATGAGGTTATTATTTTTGACAATTCAGAGCTCAACAGGACAAAAACTGTCCAAACATAAATCAGGCTCTAGTGAAATTTTTAAAGTTGTCTCATTTGACAGGGGACTAGAGATAGTAGAAGGAAGGATGGTTTGAATTTTCTCTCTAATTGAAATAATTTTATTTATAAAGAATCTCATGAAGTCATCACTACTTATAGTTGTAGTGATACATGGTTCAACAGAAATGGGACTTTTAATTAGTCTAGCAATAGTACTAAACAGAAACCTAGGGTTATTTTTATTCTCCTCTATTAAAGATGAGTAATATAAAGTTCTAGCTTTACAGAGAGCTTTTTTATATGTTAGCAGACTATCTTTCCAAGTTAAATAAAATTCTTCAACATTAGTAGAGCGCCATTTTCTCTCCTGGTTTCTAGATGCTGCTTTAAAGTACGTAACTCAGAATTGAACCAAGGAGCCAGTTTCCTCTGATTGATTACTTTCTTTTTCAGTGGAGCAGTTTTATCAAGTGAAGTTTGCATTGAAGTTGTAAGATGATCAACTAGATGATCTAAGTCTCTGTTCTCTGATGCATTACTCTGCAAGACAGAGGAAACATTGATGGAAGAGATTGTTTCAATTTGGTTACAGCATTTTCTGATAAGCACCTGCTGAGATGAAATTTACTCTCAGTGACTGTGTAGTCATTTAATGTAAACTCAAAGGTTATTAAAAAATGGTCGGACAGAACAGGATTTTGAGGAACTATTACCAAGTCCTTAATCTCTACACCATAGGTCAGAACTAAATCAAGAGTGTGATGATAAGAATGAGTAGATGTGCGGACGTTTTGGGTAAAACCAAATGAGTCTATTAAATTATTAAAGGCTATGCTTAAACTATCGCTCTCAACATCCACATGAATATTGAAATCACCCATTATGATGATTTTATCAGTATTTAATAATAAGTCAGTTAATAATTCTGATAATTCAGACAAAAACTGAGAGTAAGCTCCTGGTGGACGATATATAACAACTAGTAAAAGTGGCTTTTCTGATTTCCATTTTGGATGAGAAAGACTGAGGGACAGCGATTCAAAAGAATCATAACTAATAACTGGTTTGGCATTAATCAATAATCCTGACTGAAACATAGAAGCTACTCCTCCACCTCGGCCAGTTGTTCTAGGAACATGAACATTTAAATAATTAACAGGAGTGGATTCATTTATACCAACAAAATCCTCCTGTTGTAGCCAAGTTTCTGTCAGACACAATAAATCAATATGATGATCAGTTATCAGTTCATTCACTAACAGGGATTTAGAGGAAACAGATCTGATGTTCAATAATCCACATTTAATGATTTGATGATTTTGCTCTGGTAAAGTAACTGTGTCACACACCGAAGCAACATTAATTTCAGTGACCTCCGATTGACGTAACCGGGTGTCATTACTGCCGACGTGAATAACAATCTTACTGTATTTAGCCTTAGCTTTAGTCAGCAGTTTCAGATAAGATTCTATGTCGCCCGCTCTGGCCCCCGGAATGCATTTGACTATGGCCGCTGGAGTCCCTAAAGCCACGTTTGGGACTATGGAGCTTCCAGTAACCAGGGTCTGCTTCTCAGCAGGTGTGTCCCTGAGCGAGGAAAATCTATTAGAAACGTGAACGGGTCAGTGGTGAACTGGGGGCTTAGCCTTAGCACTACGCTTGCTCCGGACCGTCACCCAGCCGGCCTGGGGTCCCGGCTGCTCGGGGTCTGCTGGAGGACCGCTAACGGGAGCTAGCCTCTGTGGTTCCACACTGTCTAAGGGGACCTGGCTAGCTACTGGTTTTTCTACAGCGCGGAGCCGAGCTTCCAGTTCAGACAGCCTCTCCTCCAAAGCTACCATAAGACTACATTTGTTACATGTATCATTACCACTAAAGGAGGCAGAGGAGGAACTAAACATCTGACACACGGAGCAAGAGAGAACAGGAAGCAGGGAGAGAAGCAGCAGCCATGCTAAGCTAACGCTAGCAGGAGCTAGCAGAGCTACATACACCAATAAAAACTGAGAAGTGTTGAAAGATAAGAGGTGTTTAAGCACTATCCAACAGTAGAGAAACAACTGTACTGAGTGTGTTTGTGAACTAGAATGAAAAACTGCAAAAGATAAATCCAGAAAACAGAGACGACTCGAACAAACAATTCACTCGAGCTACCGACAGACAAACAGGAAATGACACAATACATCTCACCACGAACGTGCACCGTCACAACACCAGCCGTCACCTTTCCACAGCCACCTCTTCCCACTTCCTGTGTTTCTGGACTTCCCGTCTGTTTCTGTACTTCCTGTCTGTGTTTTTGCACTTCCTGTCTGTGTTTCTGTACTTCCTCTCTGTTTCTGAGCTTCCTGTTTCCGTACTTCCTGTCTGTGATTCCCTACTTCCTGTGCTTTTCCTGCCTTCTCAAAAAACACCACCTTCCTGCTGGATGGTTATTGGCTGACCTGTCGGAGTTTCTTGACAGCGCAGTCCATGTTCTTTAGAGAAGCGCGGTAAACGACACCGAACCCCCCCTCCCCAATCTGCTGTGCCTGGGAGAACCCTCGTGTCCCAGCGTGCACCTCTTCGTAGGGCCAGCTGATGACTGCATGGCTGGTGGCGAGCAGAGTCAGAGGGGCGGTGACCTCATCTTTAACGTCCTGCTGCCTTTCCTGTTTCATGATGATAACAAATATGAACTCTTTCTTTCAACACTCTTGTGTGGCAGGTTGTGTGGTTCTGATACGGACTGTGGATGTTACCTGCGCTCCTTGGTGTTCCTCTGAGTACAGACTGACGGGAGGCGGGGCAGGTCCAGGTAACGATCGCCCTCTCTCGCCGCCTGTACAAAAGCAGTGCAGTCACTGATCAGGTGTAGGAGTTGATCAGACTGAAGTTTGCGCCGGACACTTACCTGCTGGCGGCGTCAAAGAGCGGTCAGAAAGAGGAGGCAGAGGAGGAAGAGGGTTCATATTCTGTGTCTCTGCAGACACACAATCAGTTAAACATTGAATGGTTCTTCAGGGTCAGAGGTCAGAGGTGAACTCACGGCCCAGGATGATGTCTCGAGGTCTGAACAGCTGCAAAGACTCAAGAAGATCAATCAGCTCTCCGACCCGGCCGTTCCTGCTACCCCATTGGTTCATCACCCAGTCAGTCCGCCTGTCCTTCCTCTCAGCCAATCGTACGGCAGTCTGGTCTTCAAGAACCTCAGAGGCTGCAGACAACAGAACCAGGTTCTGTGGGTGTTGGTGCTGAACATTTAACTGGAAGCAAAGGTCAGAGAGTCTCTTGAAATGAACGATTTTTGGTACAACAACACCTTTATATGGACGAAGAGGTGGAACTGTATGGCTGCACACAACAGGTAACCAGCACCCCGATAGATGAGACAAAGTAGGTAACCAACAGATAACCCACTTCTGTAGAGTTGATTCATTCATTCAACCTTTATTTAGACAGATAAGTCACATTGAGCCTAGAAGACTCATTTACAAGTGAGATCTGTTTAGACAGAAAAAAGTAATGAAACTGGACACTTGTAGGAATTGGAGGCAAAAAAAATCCTATCAGACTTTTTCTTCTTGGCTGAGAAGAAAAAATAATATTAAAAAATACTTCGCACAAAGTGACATAGACATTCTGCGGGGGGGTTGACGAGAGTGGTGAGCAATTTCCATGGACGCTCTCGAGGGCACTGTAGGAGTTCTAATATGGATGGAATAATCAGCCAGTTTCCTCCGGCGAGATCTGTAAACATTCTCGAGGATGCTGGGGATTGGCCAAGGATAACGCCTATGGGAATCCAAGATTCCTGAAATGATGACACAAAGTTTATTCAGTTGGTTTCCTCGGGTTGATCAGTTGGAAATTTCTCAGGGTGGTGAGAGTCAGGTCACATTTTCTCCAGGCCAGTTCAGATAAGATGGCCTTCAAGGCCAGCCAGAGGAGCCAAATTCAGATAAACACACAGTTGTTTTGGGGACAGGCAGAACTTAATGATATTACCTTGAGTCTGTATTGGTCCAAACGGTTCCGAAATGTCCAAATTACATGGCCTCACCGACGGAATGTGCCTGAGTAAAATCCCCGAGATCTGATCCATTCTGCCCAAAGCATTTGATGATGAGATGAGATGAGGCCAGAGGCCAGACGGTACAGACGTTGTAATTTCTCTGCTAAGATGTGGGGCTGATATAGTTAAAAGATGAAAGTCAATAAAAAGCAATCTTAAAAAGGTTTTTATACCTTCAAGGTGTCCTAAAATCATATTTAAAAGAGTTCCTGTTGCGTTGTCCACTCCTCTATGTGAATTAAAAGCAAATTGAAGTGGGTTCAAATGATCTTCAACTTTTAACAAGAGTGTCTCCGAACCAGCTTTCAAATGACTTCATAACTAAAGAAGTCAGGGCAACAGACCTGAAGTCGTTCAGGGACTGAGCAGTCTTGGTTTTTGGGATTAGAACAATAACAGTCTTTCCAGAGCTGTGGGACCCTAAAGGTTTGGAGACATGTTAAAAAGAAAACAGAAAATATCAGCAAGCTGCAGGGCTCAGTTCTTAAGAGTCCGACCCCCTATGCCATCAGGACCTGGACTTTAACTTCCTTAGTCTTTTGAAGAACATTAGCTGTGTTTACATGGACATATTTAACCGGATCAAATGGCCGTTCAGAATAAAAACTCGTCATGTGAACACCTGTTCAGGTAATTTTTTGTTTCTTCAGCGTGATCTGAAATAATTTGTGATCAGAAGGAAACGGGAGGTTTACGTCGACTCATAACTGGAACAGTGTCCATGTGAACACTTGATCTGTTCGTTTTTATCTGATGGTGAGAAACTGACCTGACTGCACGTGTGTGACCTGTGTCATTTCCACCTGGCTAACGCTAACAGTGTTAGCATGTCGGGAAGTAAAACTGGTCTGTGAGCGACATCATTTCTACTAGAAACTGAGAACGAGCTCAGGATGATGTGCATCACCTGCAGCTCAG